TCTACGAACAACCTATCCTATGCAGATGTCGCCCGCACCCCTCCAACCAGTCAGCCAAGCAACATACGGACTCTCTCATCGTTTAACACGACACCGACCACCTTCACCGATACGTTATATTGCACGATAGATACCTCGAATGTGGCCGACGATGGTAGCGAGAAAATGTCCGCAGGCCCAATTAGGGCAGCAGTGGAGAAAGAGATCCGGACAATGGAAAACCACACTAACTGGCGCTGTCGTGCGGTTACGGTGGACCCGAAGAACACCAACCGGATCCGAATTGCTTGCCGAGATGAACCCGAACGCCAGCTAGTTAAGAAAGTCACAGAAGCAACAATTGGCGCAGGAGCCCGAGTGCTCCGCGACGACCTCTACCCAATCAAAGTTGACAGTGTCAAGAAAGCAGCCGTGCTAGATGAACAAGGCGAGATCAGAGCAGGAGCCGCGGCAGCCTTCAGCGAGGAGAATGAAACCACCGTTGCCAAGATCGCATGGCTCAGCAGAAAGGAAGGTGCAAAGGCCTATGGGTCAATGGTGGTGTACCTGACCAAAGGCACCGATGCACGAAGGCTCCTGGCCGAGGGGTTCTTCCACGCTGGGGGAGAATCTGGCGTAACCAGCGCCTTTGAACATCGGCCGCGACCGACACAATGCTACAACTGCCAAGAGATCGGACATAAGGCATTCCAATGCAAGAACACCCAGAAGTGCGCGAAATGCGCCAAGGAAGGCCACCGCCACAGCATCTGCAACGAGACGGTCCTTAAGTGCGTTCCGTGCGGAGGCCCACATGAATCGTACAGCAGAAACTGTCGGAAGCTGTATCCAGTGCAACATGAATAAAACACTCCGAATAATTCAGCTAAATGTAAGGAAACAGGGAGCAGTGCATGACAGCCTAATGAACGACAAAGAAATTCAGGACGCAGCGGCAATAGCAATCCAAGAACCCCAAGCGAGAAGAATTAACGGCCGACTATTGACAACTCCAATGGGACATCAAAAATGGACAAAGATGGTCCCCTCCACATGGAGGGAAGGTAGATGGGCAATCCGGAGCATGCTGTGGGTGAGGAAGGACGTGGAAGCGGAGCAAGTGCCGATAGGATCCCCGGATCTGACAGCGGCGGTCGTCCGGCTTCCCGAACGATTGATTTTTATGGCATCAGTCTATGTGGAAGGGGGAGATGCCCAAGCCTTGCGTGACACGTACAGCAGCTTACGCAAGGCAATCACCAAGGTAAGGCAAGATACGGGCGCAGTGGTGGAAGTTCTGATCGTGGGAGACTTCAACCGACATGACCAACTTTGGGGTGGCGACGACGTGTCTTTGGAGAGACAGGGCGAAGCGGATCCAATCATTGACCTTATGAGTGAATTTGCTCTCAGCAGTCTACTGAAACGAGGCACAAAGACATGGCAGGGGGGAGGACAGGGTGGAGACTACGAGTCAACTATCGACCTCGTCCTTGCCTCGGAGAATCTGACGGGTTCCACGGTCAAGTGTGCAGTACATGGAACAGAGCACGGCTCCGACCACCGCGCAATCGAGACCGTGTTTGACGTTCCGGTTCCGGTTGCCAAACAGCAGGAGCGACTGCTGCTCAAAAACGCGCCATGGAAGGAGATTAATGCCAGAATTACCACAAGCCTGGACAGCACGCCGTCGGACGGCACGGTACAGCAGAGAACCGACCGACTAATGTCTGTGGTGCTGGAGGCAGTGCGTACCTTGACGCCAAAGGCCAGACCGTCGCCATACGCAAAGAGATGGTGGACAACGGACTTGACACAACTCCGCTATATCTACACATACTGGAGAAATCACGCCCGCTC